GGATATAGAGAAGGGATAAAAGTTGAGGCGGACAGAGTGTAGGTTTATAATGTGGACTGGATGATCTGTGGTGTGGAGTGTGGAGGAAAAGACGAGGGTTTAATTATGGGGAGAAGGCTTGAATTAAGTTATAGCTTTAAAAATCCTTGCAGTGTATTATTATTAAGGATTAAGAAGTTAATAGTTGAATATTAAATGAATAAATTGGAACGTATAAAACCCAGAGTTTACAACCATAAGGAGGATATATAGCTAGATATTAAAATATATGCCACATGTGAGGTTATAATATATGTGCAGGGGGAGGAGTAGGGGGGGGGGTTAGTAGCAAATTAGATGTTACTGTGTTCACAGTTCAATGTTTTCTATTCATATTTGATTGTTTTTGTTCGTATCGTAAATATTTTGTGTAACTTGAAGGACATTTCTTGGAGAGACGTGAAATGTATTTATCCAACTGTGTGATTAACTTTAAATGTTGTGTGAAAACCACACACAACGATTCCCCCCGTAATCTACACACAACGACCCCCTCCCTCCCACACACCCGCACCCTGGTCTAGTTCTCACACAAGTTCTCAACATATTTAACTGTCCCTCTGTAATCAAACCGTGAAATGAAACCCTTAGAAAATTTTACTTCTGTGCAACCAAATAGTATACATAAAACTCCTTCTTACACCGCACCGCCTACCCCCCCCCCCCCCCCGCCCCTTCTTCTCATATTACATCTCCATCCATCTCCATTTGCCTCCATTATCCAGAAGAAATCATCACTACTTCATTTCTAAATATCTTCTCTTTTCTCCATTTGAAAAAAAAATCCCATTTATCATTTTTCATATTATCATTTAAAACTTAATTTTCTTTCTTTTTCCTCCTTCTAGGAAACATGAACTTACCTATTTTTTCTTAATATGTAATCCCTCTTTTGATATTTTTATTGCCTTCTTTATACGACCTAGACCTTCCATTTACATTAAAAACTATTAATATACCAGATGAGATTTGATTTAATTAACAGTGAGAAATACAGCTGAACTAGAAATGGAGGTTTAAATTCTTCTCTAGTGCCCAATCTGAGCAAAGTAGATCAACTATCTTTTCGTATAACGTAGTTCAACTACTTCTTACTTTTCATTGCTTCTATAGGTAGATTTCCTCATTTTCCTTCCCCTTCTTCCTGTTCTTGTGTGCTGTAATTATGTTTACACTGTTTGCGTATGTCTGTGTACACAGTAACCCTGACAAATTTATATAGGGGGATTGTCAAACAACTATTTATTACGATTGTACACAATACTAGATAGGATACGTTTTATATCAAATACATTCAAACAATATAAATATGTGCAGATATAAATAGATAGATATTGGAACATCATATTTACAATATAAATACATTGGTTGACCTTCCTTTGGTTTATACATGAAATAATTATTTAAATAAATAGCTAATTGTAATGATGCAATGCACAAATTAATTTTTATTATGAATTATGAAACTACAGAACTAAACTAAGTTAAATACCAAAAACAAATATTTATAAAATCGATTAAANTAAATACCTCGCACAATATGTACGTATATCCATCCAATATCCATATTAAATACCTCGCACAATATGTATATATTTCCATCCAATGTCCATATTTCCCATACTGTAAAATTTCCCTCAATTTCCCCCAAAACGACGTTAAAATCACTTTTTAATTATCTTATAATGGGTCTTCGGTAATTATGAAGTTAATGATTGCACGCCTGAATACAACCTAGGCATTCTAATAGGTGGAACCTAGCTTGTATAATATTCATCATTTATGCTTCAAATATTTGAACTCATCCAGAATACAATGTTTCTAAGTTTCAACTTTTAAGTGTCAAAATGTCTTGGCCTTTGATTTCATTTCACCTACTCACAAATTCTTTTTTTATCCCTAGACATTGAGAAGTAATTTATGTGATAGAGTTTTCAACTTTTTGATTACTTTGCACTTTTCTTTTCTTAAGATCTAAATATTTATTCATGGTTTTATAAACTCAAATATTCCTCACAAAACATCTTATAGCTATTTACTTCAATTAAGTTGTAGCTTGGTAGACATAGGATATTTTGGAATGTGAGTGTAGAATTTGACAACTATCAATGGAGATATCCTTTTCAGGAAGCAAGTAACAAGTTCAGCAGTTTTGCCGGTTGTTTTATGGGAATCACGAGACAGCTTCTATCCTGGTAAATATAATAAATATTAGATTGTTCAAACTATGATGGCGGATGGGATGGGAAGGAGGGGGGTTCAGAATCTCGGTATAGGGTCTAGTTCATTTCAAAACAACCAGCTAGGTCGTTAAAAAGCAACAAAGATGAATTCAATACGGTTTCTTAAAAAAATCTTTTTATGAAATTAGTCCAATACGATTCTTTCCGATTTAAATGTTCGTAAATCTTCACCGAAAGGTGAAAACCCTGTTTTTTCAGGTCAATAATACTTCTCAAAGCAGATTAAATGTAATGTTTCTCACTTTAGTTTCCATCTGATTAAAGTCATTATATCTCTTTTTTTAAATAAAATGATGCTGCGACCTATCGTCTTCATTCATCTTAACCAACTTTTTATGTATGTGATATCAACTGGTACGAGGTGAGATTAAAAATGCAGGTTTTCAATACAACTACTTCACGTTTTAGTTTTGCAACGCTACAGGATACTTTTTTATGTTTATAAATTAAAGTTTAATCGGCTCAATATCGATACTTCTTTCTCAAGCTCCCGATAACCCACCCCCCCTCCCCCCNCCACATATACGCAATTAAGGCTGCACGCCCCCTGCATTCCTCAACTTTGGTCTCTCTGCAGAAATATTAAAAAAGATAAATATTGCAAATCAGAGATTCTAAATTTTCTTGTTAAAAAAATCGTTTTTTTTGCTCACAATCAAAAAAGTTAATTGACAAATTGACGTCTTTTTTTAGATGTTGCAGGATGGTTTGACCTAAGGTGGGTCGGGATGGTTGAGGATGGTTGAAGAATATGGTTTATCTGGGTATACACTCTATACAGATTCCCACGCTCAAGCTTAACACGAGCCAGCTACATACGCAAACTTTAAGCATTTACGCAATCCATAAACATTTACGCAAACACTAAATATTTGCTAAAAATCTAACAAAGTTCCAAAGTCTAAACATTGAAGCAAAATTGACTTTCGCATTGTGCAAAATCGTTAAGAAAAAAAACACCTGCACATTTATAAATGCAAACCGAAAATATAGAGCGATAATCGATTAATGAGTGATTCCATTGATTAATAGATAAATAGATAGAAAGCCGAGCGATGCGGTTAGGATGGGTAAGGGGGCCGAGTGGCCGCTTGGGAAATTGCACATTTGGGAGGTTGCCACTTTACTTACTCAAATTATAATATATTTTTCTTTAAAAAAAGTTCAAAACATCTCAAGTCGGTTTTACTAAATATTAAGATAAATACAAAAAAGTGTATAGCCATGTTGCAACACATTTGCAAAAATATTAAAAACTTTAAAATCTAACGGTGTTAACTGTATAAGCATAAATTTTTACAGGATGGTTCAATAATATACGTCTCATCTGAACCAACAAGTTTGTTATTACATCATAAGATTACATGTTTGTATACATTTAAATATAAGCCGGGATACTTTAATTTTATCCCAGGAAAGTATAGTTAACATATATATATTTATACCGAGCTCAAATTTAACGGGTTGATTTTAAACCCCGGGATTCCAAGCCGGCCGCCGGTGATTTGGGGGCAAAGGAATTTTTATATCCGTCATATCCTCATATTTATATCATAATGCTAGCTGTAAAATTACATGGTGAACTATGATTGAAATTCATATATCTTGATACATAGCTAGATAGATAGATATTTGGATGGATAATAGATAGATAGATAGATAGATAGAGATATAGACATAAAAATAGATAGGTAGATAGATAGAAAGATAGATATATAGATAGATAAATAGATAGATAGATAGATAGATAGATAGATAGATAGATAGATAGGTAGATAGATAGATAGATAGATAGAGATAGATAGATAGATAGATAGATAGATAGATAGATAGATAGATAGATAGATAGATAGATAGATAGATAGATAGATAGATAGATAGATAGATAGAGATAGATAGGTAGATAGATAGAAAGCCAAGCGCTGCGGTTAGGATGGGCTAGGGGGCCGAGTGCATGGTTGCTTGGGAAATTGCACATTTGGGAAGTTGCCACTAGCTTGGTAAAATACCCTTGGGAAGTTGCCACTAGCTTGGTAAAATACCCTTGGGAAGTTGAAGCTTGGGAAAGTACCAAAAAATGATAAATAGATGGAACAAAACCAAGTTTTTTTGTAACATAATTTACTGTACAGCAAAATAGAACATATTACTATTTTTGTGAATGAGTTTTAAAAATCTTACTTGAACCCCGAAATGTAAAAAGAAAAAGAAAAAATGAAAAATAGAATATATTAGACAGGTCCATGAGTGAAATAGATTTGAATTGCCTTGTAAACATTGTACAATGCATATATAGATATAAGTATATTTTTACATCTAATTGCACAGTTATTTTGGTGCACTTACTAAAAATATTTTCTGAAAACGTTCATTCTTGATTCTTTATCTTAACTTTCTATTGTTAGTTGACAAACAGTTGGATATCATGACCCCCCTCCTCCCTCCTCCCTCTAGCTTTGTTATTTCGGACCCCCTGTGTCCCCTTCCCCTTATAGCAAAAAACGGTTTCCAACAAATATTTAATCCAGATTCCTGGCTCCGCTACAAAATCCGCGTAGAGTTTTCTCTACTCTGATTGGTCGGAAGTATCTAAGTGCGGTCTGATTGGTCGAACGTTTTTCTACTCATCTCTGATTGGCCGAAACAAGGGAAGAATGTTGGGGCCACTCGCATGCATCAGATGTAGCCTTTAGATCTAAATCAGTTGCTTTTCTGCGTTCAACTAGAGCAGTCGTGAATAGGATGGATCTTACGCCACCACATAGTCCGATAGAGTTTATCAATCAAACCTACATGAAATCCAAATTCAGTATGTACAACCAACCTGATATGTACAGTTTATCCCCACCCTCACCTCCCATGGACCTGAGGGTGTCCAACACAACCCCTGTCCTACCGTACCTCTCCCCGGCCCTGCTCTTCAGGCATTGGTTGGACACTCCCCAGAACTTGAACAGTTTGTATCCTAGAACATCCAGACCCAAGAAAAGGTTTATCTGTAAGTTCTGTAACCGTGAATTTACTAAATCCTACAATCTCATGATCCATGAGAGAACTCACACCGACGAACGACCATTTCCCTGTGATATGTGCGGAAAGGCATTCCGACGACAAGATCATTTGAGAGATCACAAATATATTCACACCAAGAACAAACCGTTTCAGTGTTCAGATTGTGGTAAGGGGTTTAGTCAAGCCCGTAGCTTCTATGCGCATAAAATCATCAATTCTGCTAATATTGTTCTATCCTGTCCAATCTGTAACACACATTTTGATCAGAAGTCGACAGTTAAACCCCACATATTATCACATACAGACGTGAAGCCGAGACAACTAGCAGAGATTGCAGACAGACTTTGTGGGTCACGAGCACTAGCCTGCAGGGTTGAGAAGGAAAATGTCGCAAACAATCTAGAAAAATCCACGAAGAAAGAATTGACGCCGTTTAGTATCCTAGACATTCTTGCGTCATAAATGAGCGTCAAATTACAATATTTATCTTCTGCTGTGATATTTAATGTATTCTATCTTATCTTTAAATAAATATTTAATTCAATTAGTTTTTCTTATGTTTGAAGTCTCGTGTTCAAAGGGGAAAGAAGATAGAGCTAGGAGATAAAACTGAAAGAAAACATAATTCTATTGTAAACTCATTAAACTTTAGATTCAGGAATAAGAACTTTGTATACAAAGCACAAAGGAAAAGGTTATAGTTAAATTGGTGTTGGTATGACCGTATGACTGGATGAATGGATTTAGGAAAACTGCTAGATTAAAAAAATGTTAGATTTGTAATACTTAAGAATAAAAGAAAACTAGGAAAAAGGAAAATTATGACGAATTCGAATTTTTTTTGTTTCGTTTTCAAGGATGCATAGACTTTTCACAGGAATATAGCTTTACTTAGTATCAGAAAGATAAAACAACGGGATATTTTATAGCGAGAGAGAGATAAAGACTAATAGTCTAATGTAACAAAAAGACGGATTAGGGATTGGGTACTATGTAAATACATTGGGGTTGGAGTAAATAGAAGGATTGGTTTGGAAATTATAAGAAGGATTGGTTTGGCAGTTAAATAACTATATGGATTGGTTTGGAAGAAAAGAGAAGGATTGGTTTGCTAGTAAAGTGACTATAAGGATTGATTTGCCAGTAAAATAACTGTAAGGATTGGTTTGCCAGTAAAGTATCTAAAAGGATTGGTTTGCCAGTAAAGTAACTATAAGGATTGGTTTGGAAGAAAAGAGAAAAATTGGTTTCCTGAGCTAAGAGTTTAAGTAAAGTAAAGACTAGGACTGGTTTGGGAGTAAAGGGTAGGATTGTTTTTGGAATAAAGAAGGATTAGTTTCGGAGCAAAGAGAAGGTTTAGGATGAAAGTAAACACTAAGGTTGGTTTTAAATCAAAGAGAAGGATTGGGATTGGTTACGAAGCAAAGAGAAGGATTGGGATTGGTTTCGAAGTAAAGAGAAGGATTGGGTTGGAAGTAAAGAACAGACTAGGACTGGTTTGGAAGTAAAGAGAAGGATCGATTTAGGAATAAAGAAGGATTGGTTTCGGAGCAAAGAGAAGGATTGGGTTGGAAGTAGTAAAGACTAGGACTGGTTTAAGTAAAGAGAAGGATTGATTTGAAAATAAACAAGTATTGTTTTCGGAGCAAAGAGAATTATGGGGTTGAAAGTAAAGATAAGGACTAGGACTGGTTTAGGAGTAGATATTAAAGTTGATTTGGAATAAAAAAAGTAGGATTGGGTTGGGAGTAAATACTAAGGTTGATTTGGAATTAAAGAAAAAGATTGGGTTGGAAGTAAATAATAAGGTTAGTTTGGAATTAAAAAGAAGGATAGGGTTGGGAGTAAAGTAAAGACTAGGACTGGTTTGGAAGTAAAGAAATGGATTGATTAGAAATAACCAAGGATTGGTTTCGGAGCAAAGAGAAGGATTAGGTTGAAAGCTAAAAAAGGTTTTGCTTAAGAGAAGAGAGTAAGATTGGGTTGAAAGTAAATACTACTAGTGTTAGTTTGGAATTGGTTTGGGAGTAAAGAAACGGATTGGTTTAGGAGTAAATACTAAAGTTGGTTTGCAAGCAAAGAAAGGATTTGGTTGGTTTTAAGAAAATGCAATGGTTAATTTAGTAGAAAAGAGAAGGATTGTTTTAAGAGTAAAGAAAAGAATTGGTTTGGTTAAGACCAAGAGTAAGGTTCCTGAATCCTGATGCGCCCAGAGCAACACAGATTCCGACCTTTGACTTGTAAAGAATTCTCCAACCGTTTCCCGAGACTATGGTACAGAAGGATAGATGGATAGATGGATAGATAGATAAAAGAATAGATAGAAAGACTGAGATGTAAGGTGTAACCAAACAAAGATATTCTGCAGATAATTGAACTTGAGACATACATGTTTAATTGAAACAAAATAAAGACTCACGTTTAAATACTTGGTTTGGTTTGGAGACAGCATGCTAAACAAGATAGTAAAATTTATGCAACAATACTAGTACGACTTTGTAACCTCTTAGTTCCTCCAGTTTTAATTTGACCAACCAGTTGAGTTGAAGCTGAACATCTTTGATATTTCAAATACAACGAGACTTAGAGTTTGAGGGAAAAGCTCAGTTTCATTTTACTATCTTCGTAATTTTAAAGATATAATTGTGGAAATGTAGAAAACCAAGAATACTCTTCAAACGAAATGTAAATAAATGGGGTCTGTCCTTGGGGGGGGCAGGGGGGGGGTCCAAAAATCGTATACTAGGAATATACCAATAAATGAATATAATCGAACCCAGGGATTAACAAACCGAGATCATTTGCCATCATTAAACTAAGTCTATTTATTCTATAATACAAAATATATAAAGATATTACAGTAAGAAGTAAGTAAGTAAGTAATTATTTATTCATGAAATATAACAAAAACAAACAAAATTAAGTGTTACAGGAGAAAATATTCAAAAACCTCCAAAAATAATAATTATATATTATTATTATCATTTTTATCTTCAATCAGTTTCATTTATTTATTATTTATTACTAATTCATCACATAAATTCCATCTAAATATATTAGTATTTCAATATGATTTAATAGATATTAAACATGGAAGAAGACGACTTAGGTAACAAAGGAAATTAGTTTTTGCCACAAAATCAAATATTATGATGCCTAGATTTTTGCATCCTGATGGTGTACACCTGTGATATTTCAAAACTTAGACTATTTGATATAACAGAATTCCTAGTTTGAAATATCTAAAGTCTATAACATTAGGTTGCTCAGCAATAGGGAGTACAAAATTCGAGTTTGTGGCAAAGACTCCATTTCTTTTTAAAGGACTGGACCGATTTATTTCTTGACGGACGGCCGGATGGACTGTGAAAGATTTGCTCCATATGCACAAAAAGTTCTTGTTTCATGGATTCGATTAATATGACGGAATAAGAAAAGTTTAAGAACTGGCAAACATCCAACTTCTGTCCAACACTACTCAGAGAAATCTAGACAAGCGCATAAACTTGCCCAGTTTAGTTTTTAGGCCGGTTGGATTAGTCTAGTTGATCACTTGTTGTAAAGAAATCTCTATGGTTCCCTGGATAGTTCTATTGTTATCTATGAATCCTCTCTATGGTTTACCTTGATAGTTCTATTGTTATCTATGAATCCTCCCTATGGTTTACCTTGATAGTTCTATTGTTATCTATGAATCCTATCTATGGTTATCTTGATACCTCTATTGTTATCTCGATGCATGGTTTCTGTAAAATTACTGTTTTTGATCTTTGCTCCCGGATTCGCCAAATCTTGCATATATGCTGTTTAATGTTTAATGAACCCGGATCCTGTAAATTCTACAACTTAAACTATTTGTAAACAATACACCCCCCCCCCCTTACATCTTGATCTTTGTTTCTTTTATTCTTCTTCCTTCTTCATCTTCTTCATCCTCTTCTTTTCTGTTAGTTTTCTCGCTCTGCAATGCCCGATTGACGATGGTACCCTTAAAAGCTTTGCCTGATCAAGTATAAAATTTGAGAACAATGTCTATAATTTTGAAAACTGATTATTTTCTGTTGTGGTTTCTCTTCAAAAGTGACTTACGCATTTCTACTTACAGGAAAACATATAGGAATTACCAGAACTAAACACTTTTAAACCTAGAAAAACGACAATATCTAACACACTAATAATCACATAAAGGTTTCAAGGGTACTGTTGAGTATCAATCATTGCCATCTTTACATGGAGAGTCCATTAAAATTAAGCTCACAGTCAATTTAACATCTTTTACCCTTTTTCGCATTTGCGACATGACTATACTTTACTCTAAACTGCAATTAGCTCGAACCTAATACAGAGAAGTATACAAGTCAGTTTTTATATTTTAATCTTTGTAAAATATAAACTGTATAATCTTCCTCTACCCTCTCTATACCAGGAGTAAGTGAAGAAAATTCGGTTAGTAAAGGATTTAACCTCTAAACCCTGGTAAAACATGACCCAATAATGCTTCCAGATTGTGTTAAGATGCAAACCTGGAGTGTTTATTAAACCTAGACCTCCCAGACCGGGAAGGGGGGTATAGGAGTAGTACTGTAAACCTGAAGTTTTTATTAAACCTAGACCTCCCAGACAGGGAGGGAGGTATAGGAGTAGTACTGTAAACCTGAAGTTGTAAACCTCAGGAGTAAAGTAGTTCAGATATATACCTTGTAAACTTTATATTGGTCCTTTCAAGCCTACCAGGGGCAACAGAATTGATTCAATAAAAGGGGGGAGAGGGGTTTGGGAGGTTTGAGGTCGGCCGGAAGGGTGAATTTTTGATGAATACAAAAAACTGGAATCAAAAGAAATTCTTTAAAAAATCAAAATTTGTTTTTTACCCTCTTGATATATTTGCCCCTTGTGAGCAATAGATCTAAAACGTTGAGTAATTCACCGAGGCATCTAAATACCAATTGGTCATTGGTTTAAAACCAGTTTTACTCTGGTTTTTCTGCCTCCTAAACAGATTCAACAGATTAGACGTATATTCAAACAGACCTGGAGACTTGAAACTGCATGGAGACGAAGTGGTTGGATCCCAACATAGGTTTCTAAGAGAATAAGACCTATTTAGGACTTTGAAGCTTAAAGATTAAACATAGATGCAGGAACTATATTTCATAATTAAAAGGTTGTACTTGTCTGCAAACTACATCAAAGTGTCATTTTTGGTTTATTTAACTTCGAAGATTTAAAATGTACTTCTAAAAGATTGCTTTTTTTCTGATTTATTTCTCTGAACTTACTTAAAGCCAACTCCCGTAAATTGGTTTATTCATCCATAAACTGATACCCGTTTTGTCATTTGCCTAATCCCAGTTCCTGACTTCTTAGTTCTACTACCCTCCCCCCCATTATATTTCTCTTGTAAGTCCTAGCCGCACTGTCGAACCAGCTTGTCTTTGACGCGGTGCTCGGCCCCTTGTCTGTTCTGACCGCGTCGCTTGGCCCAAAATTTATTGTCAATCCAGCCTAACCTATGGTATCATAGGTATACATTATTTAATTTTG